TCATAAAAGATACTGTTAATAGGAAGTGCAAACCTCCTTAGAAATACATTGCAGTAAAAGGTGGCACCTCATTTTCCGAAGTACCACTTTAGAAAAGTCCTATCACTTCGTAAGAGATGCCCCAACCACCTTTACCAATTGTTTAACTATCTCGGAGAGAATAGGGGAGCAAGATGGTGTGCATTGTGCCAACTTACCTAAGGAATATCACTTCGGAAGAAACTCTATCACTTTGGAAGAGGTTTCCAACCACCTCTCCTTGAAGAGACGTGGAACAAAATGTGGACCTTGCATGGCCTCTTCCTTCATCTTTATTTAGTTGGCTGTCATTTGGCCTGCCTCATAAGTTGAGGAGTGTCAATAGTTTCTCAAATCCAAGCGTGAATATTGATATAAGGCATAGACTTTGACAAGTAAAATCATATCAGTGGCTACGAACTAGCGAAGTGAGAAATAAGAATGCAAGGGGTGGGCGTACAAACTGCATCCGAAATGCAAGTTGTATGTAGACATGATTGCTCATGATATGAGATATGAGGGCTTATAGATGGCCTAAATGAAAACTTGCACTCTCGTTGGGCGAAGTGCCTCAACTTGAGAGGAGTTATAATAATGACAAGGTGATGAGGTCACCATAGCTTGCTCGCTGTTAATGGCGAATCAATTATCGATGTTCATATCGAGACAACACTACAAATGAGTGTGTATAGCCCACCCTTATTCCAAGTGTAGATATTAACACAAGGCATGGACTTATAAAATGAAGTAATATATGGCGTAATTAAACAGGGAAATGATGTGTGTATAGCACAAATTGCAGTACACACATATAGCCCTCTGACAATTGTGGCGCTCGCGATTATTTTAATTGTAGGCTCCACTTCTTGGACGTGAGAGGACTGTCAACCATGATGTCAAAATTACTGTATTTGTAATATTAATCTATTAAAAATCATATCGCATGGCAAAGTATCTAGTGAAGCGAGGAAAAAATGAAAAAACTATCCAAATGATAGTTTCATACAAAATCCTCATGCTATCGGACTCTAATAATTACAAGTGTTTTACGTGAAAACATTCTTAGACTAATTCACACAATATTTCAATCAAATAATAAAAATCTAGACAGCAAAATATACAAAGTCAACAATTGTTGTCGTGAGAGCAATCACCAACTCTTTCGCCCTCTTCCGAGTCTATTCATCATGTCACATAACAATCAGCAATTTCTTCTGTTCATACTTGTACAGCTGTAGTGACAAGTTGAAACAAGCTTTATTTGGGTTAAACGCATTAGACATCGGCATCTCTCTCTCTCTCTCTCTCTCCCCATTCCTGATCAACATTAATTTGCCTATAGTCCATTTGCTACGGATTATTGGTAATCACAGTCCTTCAGAAAATGTAATGTACCAATTGATATTTGATAAGACAAAACATATACAAAAAGAAAAACAATTACTCTTCAGTGAGGCTAACATGGTATGTTACTCTTTCATTTTGCAACATAGGAGTAACACAATATGCAATATGTTACTCTTTCATTTTTAAGGTAATAACGCACCACAACAACACTAAATAACAACACACCTTGATAACTTAACATGATATGGATAGAAAGCTATCATTTAAAAAGATATTTTTGAAGATCATTTAACTTTCCACTAATGTTTGAGATTACAACAAAATTATAAGTCACCATTATTTCATTTATCTGGGTTAATCGTCGAATGTCAGTCGTGTACAATATGCATTACCAAATGACAAACATAACTTATTAAAAAGCAAAAAATAACCGAGGGTGAATGGAACATACCAACTATATTAGAGAAGTAAAAATAACAAAGCAAGCTATAATAAAAATTTAGACACACTAAGGTAACATGGTATCTTACTCAAATGGTAAATTATATCCAGGTTAATTATCAAATCCTTTTCGTGTAAAATTATATGTTACCAAAAAAAATTAATAATGATAAACAAAACTCATCAAGAAGCAAAAAATAACAAAGGATGAATGAAAAATATTATATTAAGAAAGTGAAAATATAAAGGCAAGCAATAACAAAAACTTAGAAACACTAAGGTAACACGGTATGTTACTAACGGTAATTACATCCAAGTAGTCATCAAATCTCAATCCCATAAAATTACATGTCATCAGAAGCAATAAATAATGACAAACATAACTCATTAAGAAAGCAAAAATTACAAAGCAAGCAACATAAAAAACTCAAACACACTAAGGTAACATGTTATGTTACTTAAATAATACATTATCAAGTTATAAAGTTATCTTTTGCATATGAGCGATTTCTGTTGACCCCAGAATATATTGTCAACAGATACCGGACTCACTGCGCACACGTAATCCTGATCCAACACGTTAAGACACGTGGACGGTATAGAACTAGTAGTAAAAGGGATGTGGGAGTGGCTCAAAGGTGCGGGACGAAAATGTTCGGAATCTAGCGAGATGTTTGCATAACAATTATACAATAATTACTAATCGATGTCTGTAGAATGCGTGTATGAACTCGTGTATGTTGCAAGAGAGTAAAATATAAAGAATATTGTATTTATTCTTTTGTTGAATCTTGCATTAGCTTTATATGGGGTACATGGGGAAATATTTATAGTGTTACAAATTAGATCGTGGCCTTCAATTAGGAGTACATGTGGCTTCATCTCGTTAGTTTACATGTCAAATTGTAGGTATCAAGTTTGACCACCTAGCCTGTTATACATTTATTAGTTGGCAGAGCCGTCTCTACTTTGACAAGACAAGAAACTGACACTCTATGATGGGTGTCTCATCAATCATTCAAAGAGAATTCTTGTGTAGGGCCAGATCTCTAGGGAAAAGTGATGCAAGAGGTGCTTCGGGGCTTCGACATGATGGGCCTCGGTATGAACAGCCTCGGAAATATGAACCACTTAGGCTATAGCACTTCGGCATTCTAGAATTTGGGCCACATCATAGGCCGTGTTTCGAGTGGTTCTTGATTCTTTGTGGGTCTAAGGGCCTCGGCCACTATGCCACATGGTTCGGCATAGGTGGGCCATGGGCCTCATAGGGTCGGCTAAGTGTGTCAGCACGCAATAATAGTCCTCCAAGTTCAAGTATAATTATTTATGTAATGCGTGGACTTTGATGAAGTAAAGCCAATTTGTTGGGTAAAAATCGAAAGAATTCTTTTACCCTAGATAATAGTACCAGAAGTCCAAGTATAGATATGGACTTAACTCCAACCATGATATAAATATCTATACTTGGGTCCCCTTAGGGTTGGGGTTCAACCTTTTTTTAGAAATGAGTGGATGAACTTTATCCTATGCAAATAAAGTTGCCGGAGAATAAAGACTACCTAGGTAATTAATTATGTGCTGCTTGCTTATAAGTCATGCATAACCCAATTAAAGTCCATGTTACTGGCCTAATATAAGTGAATCTCCTCAATAAAACGAGAGCAAGTGGCCATTGGTTTTGTGTCCTTGATATTTGCTCGATAACCAGGAGCAGCTTTATTTTTCAGAAAAAATTGTATATGAAATATTTATTTATGTACAATTTGAATTTCGCCCGTATTAATGTAGTTGGTCTCAAGGATAAAGGAGTAGATTTTTTACGACATTATAATTCTTTTAACAAAATAGAACTTTTTATGAGTGATTTTTCCTTATGAATTTACGTATTCATTATACTTTGAGTGAAAGTACAATTTTCAGTTAGAAATATGACCTCCGAGTGGTTGGCTAGTCGGCTCAATTTGACCCATCAATGGGCAAGTTGGTGAGACGAACTGAGCCTAAATTTTGTGAAGTGAGCCAAATTGTGCCTGGCTTGCCCCAGTGTTAGCACAGGTTACGTTGCATTCTGGGCAAAGTTGAGTCGAGCCCAAAGGTCGATGAGCTGAGTGACTCAGCTTGTCCCATTTAATACCCCTCCGTCTGGTGAGGGTTTGGAATGTGTTTTTGAATTTTGATCTTATAATTTTGAGTAAATATTAATAACAAAAAAATGATGGCACTGAAGCTGATTTTCATTTTTCCCATGAATATATGGAGATCACAGTTCAGCCCCCAGAAACACCACACTGGCACTGGGCTTCTCTAAGCCACAAAACATGATTTCATAAGAAAAAATTATTTTATGGGAAATTGACAGAAAAAGCGCTAATTTGAATCGAAAATTCACATTTTTTGAGCTTTCAATTTGAACAGCACTTTGAGCAATCCCTGTTGATAATGTGGAAGAGATTTCTATATTTTTGTGATATGGTGATATTTTCCGACTCTTATGATATTATTTACTTAGTAGTATGATTTTAGCTAGAATAAGATCTTTCTTTTTATATTTGTACTTAATTCTATTTAAAGATCGTGCTCTTCATAATTCTTGTTAGAAGGATTACCCATTTCTAATCCTCACTACACCAAAAAGAGCCTTTTGCAACGATCAAAAAACGCTGCCAATCACCTTTTGCAGCATTCGTGCATATGTTGTGGGATGCGGTGTTGTCGTAGAGTCTTTAGATACAACAACGTTTCATGACCGTTGCAAAAGGCTTTAAAGAACATTACCTTTTGTTTTTTGCAACGTTCGACAAGCATCGCAAAAATCTTTTCGCACTGTTTGTTGAATGTTACGAAAGACTTTTTAGCAACATTTCTGAATGTTGCTAAAAAGTCTTTCGCAACTTTCATAGAACGTTGCGAATAGAAATTTATTTATTTATTATTTTTTACATTTTTTGCTGTTATTTATGCTTATATCCTTATTTTTTCCAACATTTTTTGATTATTGCCATGTGTAATTTTATAAACTGTAATACCTGTACTTTCATGGGGAAAAAAACTGTAAAAACAGAAGTATAAAAAATCAAGAAGGTACAACGCATAAAGCATATATAAGCTTTCAGATTAAACGTTACACGTTTTCTTCATCTGGATTAGCAGCTCTTTGACGGCAAAACACTCATTCAATGAACTCAAGAAGCAATAAGTAAAAAATTCATTTCATTAATCTAAAAATTAGGTGATGGGTATAAGAAACCACTACAACATTTAGAGGCATAACATCGTAATTTATAACCAGCATCACTAATGCAACTTTTCTCCCCCTTGTGTAACTGTAAACAAAGAGCTAGGGACAGCTCATATGCATATTTCTATACACCCATTAACATCATCCCTCTTCCCCATATGAAAGCCACACTGTTCAGACATGTTCGAACGCCAATCCATTCAGAAAATAACCATTAACTGGAAAAAAGAAGTCCGGGATGGATCAAGTCCAATGTTGCCAGGTGGGACAATAACATCTACTGAAGCGACTAGACCAACACGAGTTGGAGCTCCAACCTTTAAAAATAAAGATGATTTTATATCAGTCTTAGCACCACCAGAGAGGTAAAGTAGGCAAAGAAAATCATATTAAACTTGGAGACAAGTTATAACACCAAATATTTAAATATGCAACCTTCAGTGTTATCCCACATGACATCATACAATTTTAAAACTCAATATTTTTGAAGAGTAACAATTCCACAAAATATGAATATTCTACTCTACTTTGGTAATGGGTTAGACAGATACTGACACTATGCTTCGATTGTGCTCGGATAGGGACATATATCAGAATAGATTAGTAAATAAAAGAGCCTTATCTATGAAGTATACAAGGATTATACTACACAAAAAAGATGAAATCTAAATTTATGTGACACCTTCACTCCAAGGATTGCAAAAGGATACTTGTGGTGTAGTGTAAAAACTAAGCATTCACAACAAAACTATGTAATATGAAATTGACTGAGTATTATATGAAAATCAATACATGTATAACCGTGTAACCAGGGAGAGGAAATAGAGTTTACACACTGCTCCACTTTGTCTAACAAAGATATTAGCAAAAGATCATCTAGAGATTTTCTGAGAGTATATCAGGATAAATAAATTACTAAAAACATAGGAGCATGCATATAAATGTTTTTTTTTTTTTTTTTTTTTTTCTAAAATTTTTTTTTTTTTTTTTTTTTTAAATTGTGAGAGGGAGGGGGATAAGTACGCAATCACCGTAACAAAAGATGGAAAAGAAATATAGGCTACGTCACGTACTTGTCTTTCTGTTCCAAAAAATCCTGGCATGAGAAAGTCAAAAAGAGACCAAAGATCCAACACGTTATTCTGTAATTAGATGTAGAAGTTTCGTCAGGTAAAGTACAAGCTAATTTCTAGCCAACTGAAGCTAAAATTAAAATGAACCTGGATTGGTGTCCCATTCTGTATCAGACGGCGCTGAGCTTTCAATTGTTTCACTGCACCTGTGACTTTGGACTTTGAGTTCTTTATTATATGTACCTCGTCCAAAATGCAGTAGTTCCAGAAAAGTTGGCTGAGATAATCAATATCTTTACGGACTAGTCATATCACATATGATGTTACAATAACATTGTGCTTATCAAATTGTGGTTGAAGAGACGAGCGCTCTTGAGCAGAACCGATGTATTGAAGTGATGCTAAAAGATAAGATTCAATAAACTTCTCTATCTCATTCACCCAGTGCCCAACAAGCGTTGATGGGCACACTATTAATGATGGTGGTAGATCATTAGCATTAACAGCAATGCGCTTTGCTACATCAGATGCCACGATTGTTGATGATTGAAGGGTTTTACCTAGACCCATATCATCACATAAGATGCCATGATGGTTAAATCGCTTTAAAAATGCTAGCCAATTTATGCCTTCTTGTTGATACCTGAAACCAAAAAATGTATCAAGCTGCATTTTATCATATTAAATGAAATAAATGGGAGCATTAGAGTAAAAGTAAATTATAAAATACCATACATTGCATCATAGTTATGAAGGGTGCAACTGGTTGAAATGATCAAACCATATTATATTATGGCTTCTATGAAGATAAGAAATGGACAAAAAAAAACCTCAAATGGGAATGTCAATTAACAAGGATAGATCAACAATTATCTCACTTAATTCTTAACACAGATGCAAACCTTAGATGCCACAGGCCCACAGCACCTTGAATCAATGTTGGTTTATAGTTTTCCACCATCTTTAATTCTAACCAATCATAAAGCAACAAGGTCATTATAGTTTTAATCCATGATTTGGACTAGATATACAGAGAACCCTGCCGCCATCTCACATGACAAGAAAGAATCAGAAATCTGCAGAATAGAATAGCCCCCGATATGAACTCAACTTAAAAGCTCTGCAAGCCTCAACAACCTTTTCGAATAACCATGGATGGGGACAATAAAAAATGTCCACTCAGCATTAATCTATTAAACCAGTATAGAATTTGGAGTTCAAAGCTAAATTTCATACCAAAATCATGTTATTCTTATGACAGTTTTACCACTTCTGCATACTTCAAAGTGGTTACTATTTAAAGAAACACATAGTAGATATGAAAATTTTACTGCTTCTTGACCCTTGCCATCCTAAATCAGTTCAGCAAATATGAATGACCAGAATATAGGAAAAGGAAAGAAATTGATAATATCTGCAAAATGTACTCAATTAATTAAAGCGGGAAATTCCATTATTCCTTTGATATGCTTTAAGTGATTTCCAAGCCTATTATAAAACAATTTTTTCAGGCTAGAGAGTCAAGAGAAGGAAAAGAACATAAAACAATTGCAGGAATTCTTTACAGTCATATTTCATCTTTCCTAGACCAAGCAACAAACATCTTTTGTGCATTCTTTATTCTTTTCCCTAAAGACTTTAGTAATCTCATGTTTAACGTCCAACCAGTACGAACTACTACTATGGATACAAGAACTGAAGAGAAGCAACAATTTTATTAAAGAATGTACTGATTACATAATGCAAATGCCAAGAAAATCAGAAGGCAACAAATCCCAGATCAAAAATCCAATAATGCGATCAAACGAGGAATCTTGAAACTAGAAAAGTCAGCTTTAACTTAAAAAACCTGCTATTAACATAGCATTAACTTACCTGAATAGTCGCCAAAATTGAAATTTCGTTTGGCAGCCCAAGCGGCCTCATGTCGGAGGGCTTAAGATTTGTGCGCTATTGATTATATTTCCCCATTTTCTTTCGCCTTTTGCTTGTGGCATTTTGAATTACTGTCCAAAAATGAGGCCCTTTGGTTTTCGGCCCTGAGGCGCAGGCCTCACCGGCCTCGCCGCAGAATCGGGCCTGTCGACCTTGCTGTGGCGGTCCTTGGCGGGAGGCTTCTTCACTTGCAAGGCACCGTTGGTTGTGGAGAGGGAGTGATGAGAGACGAGTGAGAAGCAGAGACAAGTAGAGAAGCAATAACTAGGGCTGAATATCATTTTGACGAGTTTTTCTTGGCTATTTTAAGTTTTACTTTTAGCAACGTTAAAATGGATATTGCCACCTGATTGTTGCTAAAATTGAACTTATCGCAACGTTTGCAAAAAGTGGCAGTGCAGTCCAAATCGAATAGTCCAAATAATGAAATTCAATTGGGCAATTCAGGATAAAAGCCCAAATATAATTATTAATAAATGCAGTGGAAGCCCACGAACGTGGTAACACTATCGCCCAAACTTGCAAGACGTCCAAGATCTGAGCGAATGAAGTGCCTTGCAGTCGCCCAGAGTTATGACCTTGTTCTCGTCCAAACCTTCGAATCGCCCAGGATCTTAGCAAACATAAGATGTTATGGTTATCCAAAAGTGCAGTTATTGAGTAATCTTATCACGTTTCATGATTCAAGGAGTTCAGTTGAAGACGATTGAGCGACAAAGAGTAGTGGCAGCAGTTAGAGACGACAGTTTCACGATAAGTTGGCCACCATGAAAAAAGTGGGCAGTTATAAAGCAATTAAGCAGTTTCTAAGTGGTTGATCACAAAGAGATCATCAAGGAATATAAAAGGAAGAAAAGACATAGAGTAAAAGACCCCAAATCAAACACTCTCAAACAGAGAATATGTAATTTTAATTCATTAGTTTAGACTTAAAACATTTCTTTTCAGTACTCGTGTACTTGCGTCCCTTGGAGACATTCTGTTTAAGTTCCAATTGTAAAGTCATCGCCAATAAAACACCCCTTTTGGGGACTTTGTCTCAAGAGGTCTGTTCCTTACACAATCTTCTGATCCCTTTTTAATTGTTAGCGATTACCCGCGCGAAACAATTTGGCATGCCTAGTGACACAATTGGTGTTCGGTGTTGAAAATACGAAAGGTGAAATAATATGCCTCAGAAATCCGATAAGGAAGTAGCAAGTCAGGGAGAAGCCCAGTATGTGATCGAGCGATATGAGGAGTAGCATAGCTCTCCACGAACAGATAGATAGAATCAGAGTAATCATAGTCGTTACGAATCAAAGATAGAATTGAGTCCTCGAACCATTCGTGCATTACTCGGAGAACTTACACAAGATGTCGTTGAACAGGTAAATCTACGAAATATTCATAATATGGAAAGATTTACCCAAAATGGGAATGCACAATATGACAACATGGCCAAACAACTGAATACTTTGAACGAAATAATGAATAAGTTAGTAGACCAAATTTGTCAGCCAGTTACGCCTCTTGCAAACCACTTTCAAACTAGGACAATTGTGGGACATAATCCCCCAGTCTTAAGTTTAAATCAAGGGGTAGAACCACATTTTGATCCCTCTACTTCAAACCAAGGGGTGGTGTAATACCAAATTAGAATAGTGGCATTGGTATATCTAACTTGGGGGGTAACCTAAATGTAAGAGATTATGTCCTAAATAATGGGCAGAATACCCCATGTGTTAATGATGGAATAAATGTTCAAGCTAATGGTAACAATGGCTCAAATCATGGTAACTTTGTTGCTAATCAAGGACCAAACATCAGGCCTCAAGTAAATCAACCGGTTAACCAACCTGTAGGAATTCCATATGACCCCAACGTCATGTTGATGAATCAGATTATGGAAATCGTACAAGACTAGATGCCTTTTGGAGTACGTCCTGTCATTAGGCCGACTTACACAAAGCCATATCCTGATTGGGTAGACCAAGCATATCCATGGCCTAGAGGGTATAAAGTGCCAGAATTCTCACTGTTTACCGGTTTAGAAGAGGTGTCTACTCTAGAACACATAGGGCGATTTACACTGCAAAGTGGTAACGTAACTGATTACCATAAAATGAGGCTGTTCCCTAGTTCATTAATAGGAGTAGCCTTATCCTGCTTCATCAATTTGCCAGCAAACTCTGTTCAAACATGGCAACAATTGGAGCAATTGTTCCACGCTCAGTTTTATAAGACTGAGTCTGAAGTTACTTTGGCCGATTTGGCGAATCTACGTCAAATGTCAAACGAATGGGTAGAAGGTTTCCTTCAAAGGTTCAAGACAGCAAGAAATAAATGTTTTGTACCTTTACCCGAAAAGGAGTTTGTTAAAATCGCTCAAAGTTGTCTAAACTTTGATTTGAAGAAGAAATTCCAAGACAAGGAATTTTCTGATCTTTTCCAATTGAGCGCGAACGTGATTAGGTATGAACGATTAATAAGAGAAGAAGAACAAATGAAAAATTCTAGCAAGGGGACTTATTATAGAGACCCAAATCTTGACGTTCATACCATTAATGACGAGTATTATGATCAAACCGAAATGTGTTTGACCGAATTAGTTAAAGGAGACACGTATACTTGTCCTCTAATGGTTAAGCCTAGACCGTCGGGCAAGGATGGGCTTATAAAAGATGAAAACATAAAGGCTAGAACGTTCTCATTTGATGTAACTAAAGCTGACCTTATATTTGATAAATTATATAAGGGTAAGCAGATAAAGTTGAGCGATAAGCATAAATTACCAAGCCCTGAACAAGTTAAGGGTAAAAAATATTGTAAGTGGCATAATGCATGGTCACATTTGACTAACAACTGTTTGGTTTTTCGCCATGTGTTATAGGATGCCATTGAATCAGGATGAATTACGTTCGAGGATAAGAGGAAGATGGCAGTGGATGAAAATCCTTTTCCACAGCCACTTGGAGTGAACATGGTGACGTCTGGTTTCAAAAACAAGTTGCCAAAATTCAAGTTGGTTATAGATGATGGAGAAGAAGAAGCTGGACCACATCCCAGCGTCTTTGAACGTATCAAAGGGAAGGAGCCCAAAAAGGACGAAGACGTCCTATGTGCAAGATGCAAAGAAGAAGTGAGTGCAAATGCAGAAAAACCAGGGATATGACAGCATCACCATCGCCCTAGTTTTTTCCCAAACGCTTAGCCTGGTAGAGGGCGGGGTATATCGTTCTATAAAGGACCGCCTTTTGAGAGACAGTTCAAACCAGTAAATAATGGGAGAACATTCAGACCGCAACCTCTCCAACCAAATGTATGGCATTCATTCCAGTATAAGGCTGGAAGGGCGATACCTTTCAACGAGATGACTAGGACCCAATAGAGGCGTTTTCAACGAAATTATGGGCGAATGATGAGGCAACAACAGGGAATGCTACGTCCTAAGGCATCTAGGCTACTCGAGGCAGCCAATCAAAATGTTCTCAAAGATAGTGAAGAGATTGGTACAGGCGAACCTATGGAAGAATTGCCAGAGACTTCTTCTGGGAGGTCGAAGTTTGAGCGAGACAGAAGGGATGGAGAAGATCTAGATCAGCCCCTTACTATTCAGTTTGGTATGTTGCCTCCTGTCGTGGCTAATAACTATTTACTAGTCAATGAGTTCAAGAATAAAAAAAAGGGAGGAAAAGGAAAGAAAGAAGGAATTGAATTCAAAGTATTAAAGAATGAAAAGATGTCCCTTCTAGACATATTTACAGGGCTCAGTGGGGGCAATAGCTAGCCCATAACAGCTAGCAGATTGAAGGGAAAAGGATAGAGCACTAAGTGATGGAAAATAGGCTCTCAACCACATTTGAGTGAACCAAAGAGGCCCACTGCCAGTGGGAGATGCACCATTCTTCAATTGGAATTGGAGAGAAGTCATGCCTCTATAGAGGGCAGCCAAAAAGAAAGAACACAAATTCAGAGGCCTACCACGCGCCAATTCGTGCGCTATGGGTAAATAGCTCATAGAAGGCTTCATGTTTGGCACACACAAAACATATTTACAAAGCCAAATCTGAAGAAAAATCACACGCTTAGCATGGGAAGGCTCAGCGCTCGAGTAATTATAACAGCTTTGCAGGCTTGAATAGGACTCGGTGAGTTTTCTGTCAAATTTTGGAGTGACACCAGAAATCAAAATACCAGGGAAAATGGTATCGCCCAAAGGTGGCAGATTTACTAAGGACCCAACATCCCTTAAAGTAATGGACATGGGACCAAGAGGGAAAACAAAAGTATTATACTCAGAGGACCAAAAACTTAAAGCAATAGGGAAAAGCGATGAATCAAAAATAGGGGGTTGAAGAGAGATTTCTAACAAATCAGAAATCCTTGCACTATCAAAAATTACCTTGGTAGGACCATGGCCCACAAGGCGAGCATGCCATCTACGAAAAACAACATCAGATTTAGGTCAAGTGCAAATACCTCTTTCGCGAAGCGGCCTCAGCGGCAAAGAATTTAGAAACGGAGGGTCTTGAGTACAAGGGAACAGCGGGCCCACCGCCACTTGTTCGATGGCCTCGGCGTTGTTGAATGAAGGACCTAGATAGAACTCATTGAGTTCGACATTGGCTGGTGTAAGGAAGTTCGGAGTTATATATGGCCAAGTTAGGAGTTTTTGGAAGTTTTCGAAACTGAAAGAGTCACCAGATTGGGATTACGAAGCAGCCATTAGGAATGAAATAAAGTTTTGTTGAAGTTTGCTTGAGAAACGTAGCAGAAAAGCAAGAAGATGAACAGTAATATTGCTAGAGAGAAGCGCGAATCAATGAGGCGTGATTTAGTAGTGCGATGAAATGTCGTGTATTTGGGGGTTATAAGGGTTTGCAACGTCGCACCTTTTCAGGCTATGGAAGAAAATAATGATTGAAATTCTTGGGAATTTCAAATGTTGCTGGGAAACACAAAGTGAATATGGCAAAAATTAATAATTGGTATTAATTCTGCCATATTGGGGGTAATTGTTGACACGCTAAAAGTGCAGCCCAAATCGAATAGCCCAAAGAATGAAGCTCAACTGGGCAATTCAGGATAAAGGCCTAAATAGGATTATTAATGAATGCAGTGGAAGCCCACGAACGCGGTAACACCATCGTCCAAACTTGCAAGACGCCCAAGATCTGAGTGAATGAAGTGCCTTGCAGTCGTCCAGAGTTATGACCTTATTCTCGCCCAAACTTTCGAATCGCTCAGGATCTTAGCAAACATTAGATGTTATGGTTATCCAAAAGTGTAGTTATCG